CCAGTCCGGCGTGTTGGACACCAGTCCGGAGTGTTGGACACCTGTCCGGCGTGTTGGACACCAGTCCGGAGTGTTGGACACCTGTCCGGCGTGTTGGACACCAGTCCGGAGTGTTGGACACCAGTCCGGCCTGTTGGACACCAGTCCGGCGTGTTGGACACCAGTCCGGAGTGTTGGACACCTGTCCAGAGTGTTGGACACCTGTCCGGCGTGTTGGACACCTGTCCGGCGTGTTGGACACCAGTCCGGAGTGTTGGACACCAGTCCGGAGTGTTGGACACCAGTCCGGCCTGTTGGACACCAGTCCGGAGTGCTGGACACCAGTCCGGCCTGTTGGATACCAGTCCGGCCTGTTGGACACCTGTCCGGCCAGTTGGACAACAGTCCGGCCTGTTGGACACCTGTCCGGCCAGTTGGACAACAGTCCGGCCTGGTGGACACCTGTCCGGCGTGTTGGGACACCAGTCCGGCGTGTTGGACACCAGTCCGGAGTGTTGGACACCAGTCCGGCCTGTTGGACACCTGTCCGGCCTGTTGGACACCAGTCCGGCCTGTTGGACGCCTGTCCGGCCTGTTGGACACCTGTCCGGCGTGTTGGACACCAGTCCGGAGTATTGGACACCAGTCCGGAGTGTTGGGCAACAGTCCGGCATGTTGGGACACCAGTCCGGTGTGGTGGACACTTGTCCGGCGTATTGGACACCAGTCCGGCGTGTTGGACACCAGTCCAGAGTGTTGGACACCAGTCCAGAGTGTTGGACACCAGTCCAGAGTGTTGGGCACCAGTCCAGAGTGTTGGACACTGGTCCGGCGTGTTGGACACCAGTCTGGCGTGTTGGACACCAGTCCGGCGTGTTGGACACCAGTCCAGAGTGTTGGACACCAGTCCAGAGTGTTGGACACCAGTCCGGCATGGTGGACACTTGTTCGGCGTGTTGGACACCAGTCCGGCGTGGTGGACACCTGTCCGACGTGTTGGACACCTGTTCGGCGTGTTGGACACCAGTCCGGCGTGGTGGACACCTATCCGGCGTGTTGGACACCAGTCCGGCCTGTTGGACACCTGTTCGGCGTGTTGGACACCAGTCCGGCCTGTTGGACACCTGTTCGGTGTGGTGGACACCAGTCCGGCCTGTTGGACACCTGTTCGGTGTGGTGGACACCAGTCCGGCGTGGTGGACACCAGTCCGGCGTGGTGGACACCTGTTCGGCGTGTTGGACACCAGTCCGGCCTGTTGGACACCTGTTCGGCGTGTTGGACACCAGTCCGGCCTGTTGGACACCTGTTCGGCATGTTGGACACCAGTCCGGCCTGTTGGACACCTG